AAGATATATGAAATTTTGGGGCGTTTCAAAATTGATGTTGTGTTACATGAAAACGAAAATAAGAAGCACGCCTTGACATGACATATCTTGAAAAATGTAGAACTCCATCAGCATATTCATTAAAGCCACTGATAAATCCAGACGTAAACCTAGTAATAAATGCAATGAGGCCTTCTCAAACTGAATTTGTGGTTCTACCATTCTTCTTCATGTGAATCTGTCAAAATAAACTTTAGAAGCTTCCTTTTAGCATTCTTATGCAATCATATGACTACGTTCTTGCTGTCTTTTGTAGACTTTGCTCCTTACAGTAATTGGTTAGATGCTTCTTGTTATAAATTCAATTTTGTCATGTAGTTTCAATAATCCCGAGTACATGATATTGAGAAGGGAAATTACAAAGGAAGCATGCACATCAACTCCGAGAACCATAAAAACAGATAATGCAATAAAATAGATTATAAGGATTTCATTTAAACACAAAGTCACAAACATATAATTCACGTAATCTCCACAAAGTTCAACACTTTATGAAAAGTGAGTTTTTTTCCTCCAAATAATATGAAACACGCACTTCAGTTAGCATGATAATGCACTGCCCAAGGTAGAAGGATTAAATATTTGCAAGGCAAGGAATAGAATTCAGAGAATAAATAAATAAGAGAGCATATAAGTTTAAGGAAATTACTCACCTGGTCCTAAAATATTTTGATTGTCAATCTCAACAGTATATGAAGAGAGGAAATTCACATACAATGTAGTGTTGATAAGTCCATCTTTGGAGTTTCCAAGAGACGTTTGAAGCTGATTTATCTCACTAAAAGATGAACCGGGGAGAAACTCGTGAAAAAGAGGTTGGATCAGCTTTAGATCCCGTAAATTATGGAATATTCTAGGAAATAAATTGAATTTCAGTATATTTGGGAAGGCCCCTCTAAAGGTAACAGGTTTGTCTTCAAAGTTGCTGGCATTTTTTAGTGTTCCACTGACAAAATTCAAATGCTTCTTATCTGCATGGCTCTTTGCAGTAAGGTTGAACTGAAAGCCAATGGCAGCTGCTGGATTATTGGGAAGATCAATGAATTGCCAGGAGACGTGCAAAATGTCTCGAGTAAGCTGGCAGTTGTTGCACTTAAGAGTAATTGTAGGCCCCTTGGTGGTGTTTAGACAAGAATAGTTAGCAAAGTTTGACAAAGGAGCGACTCTGTAATCAACAAAGCCAGGATTCCCTGTAACTAAAGACCCAAGACCACGCAATTGAGCACAGCTCATACTAGAAATAGTAGTAATATTGAACTCTAAGTCATTCAAGAATGCCGCCAGATCAGGTGCATTTGTTGCTCTAACATTATGAACCTCAACACTCCTCTTCGATATGATCTGGTAGAGCAACCTGTACGTAAAAAGTAACACAAACCATAAATGTAACAGGCAGAGTTAGGTCCCTCAAGATGCATAAAAAGCAGTAACAAAGTAAAAGTGCGCAACAAAAGTAACCATGATAATATTACTCACGCAGCAAACAAACCAATAAAGAGCATCCAACTAGCAATCGAGAAAGTCCCACCAAGCTCTGTTTTCCTTTTCTTCACTACCTGCTGGTCGTCCTACCCAAACTCATAACTAGTACCATCACTTGGATATGTAAACTGACAATATCAGTAACTGAGGAATTGATTAGTAGACGACTTACAAGCCAGTGCCGAGTTGCGAAGGAGATGTCAAGACGGCTAAACCACCAGCGGATCTTGAACCAGGGTGAGCGACCATCGGTTCCAAGGGGAAAGAGGCGGAGGAGGAGGCAGAAGCCGAGCCAGAAGAGGAGCATGGCAAGGGTGTCCTCCAAGAAAACAGCCTGCGACTGGGTAAACTTCTTGATGGAGTCAAAGGAGAATATAGTCTCAGGGAATGTCAGAGTAGATTCATAATCAACGCCGCTGTTCAGCTCCACATCCGAGCCCAACTCAGCCCACAGCTGTTGCTGCTGAAATTGTAGAAGAAGCCAGGGTCGCATGCACAGAGCGTGCCATTATAGCGGAAGCCATGTCTTGGGCATTGCAGTGCTTGCATTGATGACTGAACTTACGATTTATTACCAAATTGACAGTGAAATTTGGGGAATTGGGCTGTAAGAAAAGCGGGAAAAGGAAAATGGCAAGAAATTCGGGAAAATGAATATGATTGAGGTTGTTTAGCGTAGAGGTAGGGAATGGAATTGGACAGAGATATGGGTCAAATCTCAGTCGCCAACGTTCCCTTTGGGTCGACCGCCAACATTTCTTTCCGATTTGCCAGCAGACCAGTGTCCACGTGAACCTTTGAAAATATTTCGAGATATTACTGAACGGTTTTTTCCTTTTTCTTTTCTTTTTTTTTATATTTTTCGTCTCTTTCATTGTCTCATTGTTCCTTTAAAATTAGCCCATGTTTGAGCCCTATTAAAATTTTAATTCTCACTATTTTACTCATTTTCAATCGTACGTTCTTCAATAAAATAATATTTTTCATCACATCAATAATTTTTCTTTCTTTTTCAATCTCACATTCTCAATCAATCTACTATTCTAAAATACATTCTTCCAAAACAATGTAACTCGAACACACCCTTAAAATATTCCTCTTTTGTCTTTGCTCTTCGAAGCTTTTACCTAAATTTTTTTTTTTTTTTTTTTACACTTTATTGTTCCGAATTACTCGTGTCTAAATAAATCGTTAGGAGGGCATGAATATGAAAAA